TCCCGACCCCCGCCGCGCCCCGCCCCCCGCGCCCGCCCCTCCGGAGCGCTCCCTCGGCGCCGCGGCGCAGGCAGGAGCCGCTGCCGCCCTCCGCGCTCGGCCCCGCACCTTGCACCGCGCTCGGCCCCCGCCCGCGGAGGAAAAAAATAAAATGTTTTGCCGCTTATGATTTCCAATTTCAGCGTCTGGCTAATGGCGTGCCAACTTCCGCCAGTTCCGAGTGACCTCCCCGACGAAGCCCCCTGGAGACTCGTATTATGAAGGGAGGCTGCACTAATCTAAGATCAAAAGCGGGAAGGTGCGAACAGTCTTTGTCTCCCTTCGGCCGCCTCATTCCCCCTTCTGTGTGTGATAAATCTACCCTGGCGCCGACTGCGCGCTGGATGATTAATTTGCAAGCAAACAAAAGGGACCTGATGGCCAGCCATCTTAGTTAAATATTGGCCAGTGCTTCCAGCTACTTGTTAGCCGCCCCTCGGCCAGAAATAAATAAATAAGCGAGGCGCGGAAATAAATAAATAAGGAGGCCCGCTGAAATGAATGGCGAAGGGGAAGAAGAGGGGGGAAGAAAAAAAAAAAAAAAAAGAAGAAAAAAAAAGAAGAGGAGATCAGAGCAGCCGATGGCGAAGGGCAGGGAGCGGGGTGGAGGTGGGAATGGGGCTGGTGGCGGGGGGAGGCAGGGTGATAGCAGGGGGAGATAGCCGGCTGCCCCCGCGCCTCCCGGCCCGTCTGCGGGCTGGGCTGCACCAAGGCCGACACTATCTTGGCTCTTCAAAGAGGCATGAAAGGTCTCCGCTGTCTCCCCGGAGAGCGGCCAGGCCGGGGCTCTCTCTAATCTCGGAGCACAAGAGCCAAAGGCCGGGGAGGGGGGAGAACCATCCCAGGTTCTCCTCCGCTCCCTGATGCCGCCGGCTCTTCGTTGGGTTTACCCCGGTTCAACCCAGGCCGGAGGGAAAGCGGAGCTGGCCAGACCCTGGGCCTTTGGTGGTTGAGCCCCGCTTGCTCAGATTTCACCCTCCTAAGCAACTTTTGGCGTTTGCACGAGAGCTCGGGGCGTGCGGTGAGCCTGCCCCATGCCTGTGTGTCGGAGGTGTGGGAGGGAGGAGAGAGGCTCTGGCTCTCTCCCGGTGGCCTGAAGAGCCAGCTGGAGGAAGGAGGCAAGAGGAAAAGAAAGGCAGCCCAGCTTTCAGGGCCCACACGTCCTCTCCCAGGCCTGCGGGAGCAGCTCCGAGGCGTGTGTGCGTGCGTGGAAGGGGCTGTGTGTCTCTGTGTGTGTGTGTGTGTACGTGGAGATGTTGCGTGGGTGTGTGCGACCGGGAGGGATCCGTGCCCTGGGGTACATCACAAATCCCTGCTCCAACAGCAAAACCTGAAGTGTCCCTTGCACCCCCCCCCAATTAGGTGCTCTGCGGGAGGGGACGGGTCCCTGGTGCCAACGTGCGCAACCCAAGTGGGGTTTTGCATCCCATCTCTGCGTTTCCTTGTCACGCTGCTGCTCCCGAGCATCCCCAGGGGCCTGGACCCATCCTGCCTGCCCCCCCTCCCAGCACCCTGCCGGATTCATCCCTCTCCCTCCCTCCTTCCCTCTCCCCCCGGTGCCTCCCCTCCCTCTCCAGCCCTTGGGAAGGCAACACCCCACCAGCGTGGCCGCGCTGTGTTTATCCGAAATAAAACGTGGTGGGTTGGTTGACTTTGGCAGGTTTGCAGTAAATACGGGCCGGAGGGAGCGCGGGGGGCTCTGGTGAGTGGTGATTACACGCTTCTTCCGAGGGGAAACTCTCCCCCGCCCCACGCAGGCCCTTCCCCAGCCCAGCAAAAGGTGTCAGTAAAAGCGGGGCCGTGTTGACGCAGCTCCATCCCAGAGTGGCACTGCAGGCCA